ATGAAGGACTAGAGGATGACCAACACAAACTGTGCAGCAGCAGATGAGCTATCGTCTCTGACTTTACATCTACAAGGTGGACCGACAAGGTAGGAGTGTCTAATAGAGTGGACAGTGAGTGGACACAGTGTTTAAAAACTCCAGCAGCACTGCTGTGTCTGATCCACTCAGACCAGCACAACACACACTAACACACCACCACCACGTCAGTGTTACTGCAGTGCTGAGAATGACCCACCACCCAAATAGTACCTGCTCTGTGAGGGTCCATGGGGGTCCTGACCACTGAAGAACAAGGTGCAGATGAAAATGGTTCTATATTGAACTCCCGGATCCAAAACAGATGGACTACAGTCTGGAACTGCAGAACTCCAGAGTGAAACTATGTGGTGGAGCTGTTAAAGTGGACAGTGAGTGTAGATACGAGGAGGTGGACTTAATAAAGTGGCCGGTCAGTGTTTTTAGTAAATATATGGGAGGTTTGCAGGTCCCGATGTTGTATAAAAACGAGTGTGTGTGTGCGCTGCAGGAGTTGGTTAGTGTTGGCTGTGATGGCGTCCTGCTCTCTGCCTCCTCTACTTATCCACCCATCGCTCTCTCTCTCCATCGCTCTCTCTCTGCCCTCCCCACGGAGTGTGATTAGCATCTCCTGCGTACTCATTACCGTGCGTGTGTGTGTGAATGGAGCATCAACACAGTGTGTGTTGTTGACTGATGTTTTCCTGAGTGCTTAAAAAGAGACAGACAGCGAGAAAGACAGATAGACAGACAGAGAGAGAGAGAGAGAGAGAGAGAGAGAGAGAGACAGAGAGAGTGTATATAGTGTATGTAACTCTTTCTCTCTGTGCTGTTGAAGGGTGAGAGAGAGAGTGTATATAGTGTATGTAGCTCTCTCTCTCTCTGTGCTGCTGAAGGCAGAGAGAGAGAGTGTATATAGTGTATGTAGCTCTCTCTCTCTTTGCTGCTGAAGGGTGAGAGAGAGAGTGTATATAGTGTATGTAACTCTTTCTCTCTGTGCTGCTGAAGGGTGAGAGAGAGAGTGTATATAGTGTATGTAACTCTTTCTCTCTGTGCTGTTGAAGGGTGAGAGAGAGAGAGTGTATATAGTGTATGTAACTCTCTCTGTGTGCTGTTGAAGGGTGAGAGAGAGAGTGTATATAGTGTATGTAACTCTCTCTGTGTGCTGTTGAAGGGTGAGAGAGAGAGTGTATATAGTGTATGTAACTCTCTCTCTCTGTGCTGTTGAAGGGTGAGAGAGAGAGTGTATATAGTGTATGTAACTCTCTCTGTGCTGTTGAAGGGTGAGAGAGAGAGTGTATATAGTGTATGTAACTCTCTCTGTGTGCTGCTGAAGGCAGAGAGAGAGAGTGTATATAGTGTATGTAACTCTCTCTGTGTGCAGCTGAAGGCAGAGAGAGAGAGTGTATATAGTGTATGTAGCTCTCTCTCTCTGTGCAGCTGAAGGCAGAGAGAGAGTGTATATAGTGTATGTAACTCTCTCTCTGTGCTGTTGAAGGGTGAGAGAGAGAGTGTATATAGTGTATGTAACTCTCTCTCTGTGCTGTTGAAGGGTGAGAGAGAGAGTGTATATAGTGTATGTAACTCTCTCTCTGTGCAGCTGAAGGCAGAGAGAGAGAGTGTATATAGTGTATGTAACTCTCTCTCTGTGCTGTTGAAGGGTGAGAGAGAGAGTGTATATAGTGTATGTAACTCTCTCTCTGTGCTGTTGAAGGGTGAGAGAGAGAGTGTATATAGTGTATGTAACTCTCTCTGTGTGCTGTTGAAGGCAGAGAGAGAGAGTGTATATAGTGTATGTAACTCTCTCTCTGTGCTGTTGAAGGGTGAGAGAGAGAGTGTATATAGTGTATGTAACTCTCTCTCTGTGCTGTTGAAGGGTGAGAGAGAGAGTGTATATAGTGTATGTAACTCTCTCTCTGTGCTGTTGAAGGGTGAGAGAGAGAGTGTATATAGTGTACGTAGCTCTCTCTCTGTGCTGTTGAAGGGTGAGAGAGAGAGTGTATATAGTGTACGTAGCTCTCTCTCTGTGCTGTTGAAGGGTGAGAGAGAGAGTGTATATAGTGAATGTAACTCTCTCTCTGTGCTGCTGAAGGGTGAGAGAGAGAGTGTATATAGTGTATGTAACTCTCTCTCTGTGCTGCTGAAGGCTGAGAGAGAGAGTGTATATAGTGTATGTAACTCTCTCTGTGTGCTGTTGAAGGGTGAGAGAGAGAGTGTATATAGTGTATGTAACTCTCTCTGTGTGCTGTTGAAGGGTGAGAGAGAGAGTGTATATAGTGTATGTAACTCTCTCTGTGTGCTGTTGAAGGGTGAGAGAGAGAGTGTATATAGTGTATGTAACTCTCTCTGTGTGCTGTTGAAGGGTGAGAGAGAGAGTGTATATAGTGTATGTAACTCTCTCTGTGTGCTGTTGAAGGCTGAGAGAGAGAGTGTATATAGTGTATGTAACTCTCTCTGTGTGCTGTTGAAGGGTGAGAGAGAGAGTGTATATAGTGTATGTAACTCTCTCTGTGTGCTGTTGAAGGGTGAGAGAGAGAGTGTATATAGTGTATGTAGCTCTCCCTCCTCTCTGCTGCCGGAGGCTGAAAGTGAGTCGATTATGAAACGAGTAAAAGCTCGTTATGCGTCAGGCTGTTTAAATAATCATCTCTATTCAAATCCGGATCCTCCTCTGTCTGAGAGCGGCGGCTCATTCAGAGCCGCTCCGTGTTTTACGCGGTTCTCTGTGCTACTGTTGACATCACCGCTGTTCAACGGGGGGGGGACTATTATGGGATTGAATAAACAGTCGTAATAAAGGAGGAAGAAAGGAATTAGACCATTTCACCATCTGCTTAACAGAGGAACACACTCAGCCCGATCAGAGGAACACACTCAGCCCGATCAGAGGAACACACACTCACCCCGATCAGAGGAACACACTCACCCCGATCAGAGGAACACACACTCACCCCGATCAGAGGAACACACTCAGCCCGATCAGAGGAACACACTCACCCCGATCAGAGGAACACACACTCACCCCGATCAGAGGAACACACACTCACCCCGATCAGAGGAAAACACACTCACCCCGATCAGAGGAACACACTCACCCCGATCAGAGGAACACACTCAGCCCGATCAGAGGAACACACACTCACCCCGATCAGAGGAACACACTCAGCCCGATCAGAGGAACACACACTCACCCCGATCAGAGGAACACACACTCAGCCCGATCAGAGGAACACACACTCAGCCCGATCAGAGGAACACACTCACCCCGATCAGAGGAACACACACTCACCCCGATCAGAGGAACACACTCACCCCGATCAGAGGAACACACACTCACCCCGATCAGAGGAACACACTCACCCCGATCAGAGGAACACACACTCACCCCGATCAGAGGAACACACACTCAGCCCGATCAGAGGAACACACACTCACCCCGATCAGAGGAACACACACTCACCCCGATCAGAGGAACAGACTCACCCCGATCAGAGGAACACACACTCAGCCCGATCAGAGGAACACACACTCAGCCCGATCAGAGGAACACACACTCACCCCGATCAGAGGAACACACTCACCCCGATCAGAGGAACACACTCAGCCCGATCAGAGGAACACACACTCAGCCCGATCAGAGGAACACACTCACCCCGATCAGAGGAACACACTCAGCCCGATCAGAGGAACACACACTCAGCCCGATCAGAGGAACACACACTCACCCCGATCAGAGGAACACACACTCACCCCGATCAGAGGAACACACACTCAGCCCGATCAGAGGAACACACACTCAGCCCGATCAGAGGAACACACTCACCCCGATCAGAGGAACACACTCAGCCCGATCAGAGGAACACACACTCACCCCGATCAGAGGAACACACTCACCCCGATCAGAGGAACACACTCACCCCGATCACTCAGCCCGATCAGAGGAACACACACTCACCCCGATCACTCAGCCCGATCAGAGGAACACACTCACCCCGATCAGAGGAACACACACTCACCCCGATCACTCAGCCCGATCAGAGGAACACACTCACCCCGATCAGAGGAACACACACTCACCCCGATCAGAGGAACACACACTCACCCCGATCAGAGGAACACACACTCAGCCCGATCAGAGGAACACACACTTAAAGTATACACACCACTTCAATGCCTATTCTCTCTTTACACACTATAAAATACATGCATAAACAAATAATATCTTGTTTTATATCATTATTGTTGCTTTTGTTTTATTTTTGCATTATTGGCTACATTTGTATGTGCTTTAATTGAAAATTACGAATATATCAATAATTCAGTATTAAATGTTTGTAATATAAGACTTTGACAGTACAAATTCATCAGTTCATCAATGTGATTATATGTATAGTTATATTATTACATTAAAGATGTTAATGTAATAACGTTAATATTTTCATGTTCACTCAGTTGATTCATAACATAATTAATTATATTAATAAAGCCAATATTAAACAACAATAATAACAATAATAATAATAATAATAATAATAGTATGGCTATCTATCTATATATATAAGCAATTCCCAAGTGATTGCTATGGTGTTTCAGGTAGCTAAGGTTCTATTAGGTTGCTGCCATGGCATCCTAGGGTTCTGCATTGCTTTGTGGTTGTTGGGTGTTGCGAGGCAGGTTCTATGGTATTCCAGGTGATCGCTAAGGTGCTGTTAGGTGGTTGTTATGGTGTTCCATGTGGTTGCTAGTGTGTTGCTAGGCTAGGCAGTTTCTGTCATATTCCGAGTGGTTGCTAGGGTGCTGTTAGCTGGTTGCTGTGGTGTTCCAGGTGGTTGCTGGAATGCTGTTAGGTGGTTGCTAGTATGTTGCTTGGCAGTTGCTATTATATTCCAGGTGGTTGCTAGGGTGCTCCTAGATCTTTGGTGGTTGCTAAGATGTTGCTGAACCAAAAACAGTAACAGCGTTTCTCTTCTTATTCTGTGTAGGGGCGGACCTGTTCTCGAACTGTACAGATGAGTGTAAGGCGCTGGGTCACTCTGACCGCTGCTGGATGCCTTCCTTCGTGCCCGGCGACGGTCGCCAGGGCGGCGATTACCGTAGCAACCTACACGTGCCAGGAATGGACGCAGTGCCGGACAGTGAGGTACAGGCGGGCGTAGCGCCGGGCATGCTGGGAGATGACCGCTCATTCTCCACGTTCGGCAAAGACAAGTCACACCACGGCACGCTCACACCACATGATCTGCTCTTACCCAGCGCCAGAGCGCCTTACAAACCCTCCTACCTGTGTGAGTATACGCTCCGGCCGTACCGCTACTGACCCGCCCAGCGCCAGCCCACAGTAATCTGACCCAAAACAATCTGACCCCACCATGTACGGTCACTTCCGACAAAACTGAGGGGCTCTACGGCTGAGTACGCATGCATTGGTGGCAATTTTAGGGGTCCAAGCACTGAAAGCGCTGGAACACTATTGCTTTTGTTGTTTTGTTTTTTTCTTATTTTTGTACTGTAAACCTTCTCCCAAAAACCCCAATATCAATTTTCTCTTCATTTCCAATTTGTTCATGCCACCCAACCCCACCCCCACCCAAAATAAAAAGACAAAAATATTCTTAAATCTATGCTGAATATATTAATAAAGAACTTCTTTTGGACTGAAAGTTTGGAGTGGTGTCCACTTATAATTTTCCCTTTCTCTTTACACTGGTGGAGGCTTCTCCTATGGTTGATTGCTCTTCCACCTGATTGGCTAACACTCATGGTGCTGTGACTTTCTCTTCAGCTGAACTTACACACAATGCCTACCGCACATGCATGACACAAGTGTACAAATACAATATATGACATTTCACTTTATATCCACCAAGCGTCATGTTTGTATGTCACAGCGAAGGCATCATCCTGTCGCTGACCTTAGATCACCTTGTATTAAAATGTACAGTATTTAATTCTGTTTCATATTTGGTCCTCGAGTTGCTCATCATAACAGGTTTACTTCACTCATTGGCCACTATATCAGAAACACCTAGCTTGTGCTTCCACTGACTGGCCACTTTATTAGAAACACCCACCTTGTGCTTTCACTAACTGGCCACTTTATTAGAAACTCCTTGTGCTTCCACTAACTGGCCACTTTATTAGAAACTCCTTGTGCTTCCACTAACTGGCCACTTTATTAGAAACACCGTGTGCTTCCACTAATTGGCCACTTTATTAGAAACTCCTTGTGCTTCCACTAACTGGCCACTTTATTAGAAACACCCACCTTCTGCTTCCACTCATTGGCCACTTTATTAGAAACATCCACCTTGTGCTTCCACTAACTGGCCACTTTATTAGAAACACTCACACTGTACTTCACTCATCGACCACTTTATTAGAAACACCCACCTTGTACTCAAACATATCTGGAGCTACAAGGAAGGGTTTCCGATAAAGTGGCCAGGTATGATATATAAGGCATAAATAAAAACTACAAGTACTACAAGAACTGAAACGTATGGTCAGTACATCTCTGGAATGACCACTATATGCCAAATGTGCATCCACACCACAATTAGCATGCTAGCACCCTTTAGTGTCTTTTGTAGACCTCGACTCTGTGATATTTGAATATCTGTGTTAAAAGTCTTCTCTGAACACTTCTGTTAAAGGGGTCAAAGGTCATGTATATATGGGAGTACTGTGCATATCTACAGCCTCTCGTTTGTGTCTTAATTCTATTTGATGTATAAACTTTTTTTTCTGGATATTTTCTACCTGCTGTGGTCTTTCATATGATTTATTTTAAAGATGTATAATATCTAACACAAACATATGCTATATGTAACAAACAGGTGAGTGATGATGTAATCAGAGAGATTCAGAGTGGTTTGGTGTGAAATGGTTCAGATGTCTGTACAGTGGTGGTGATAGGAACCAGGGGTCGCCATGACTACAACACAGATATAGACATTTTATTTACTATCCAGAACCACCAGTGAACCTACACGAGTCTTCTGAGTCTATATGGAATGTTGATGATGAAAATAGTGGAAAATCAGAAATAATCAGTTTTCTTTGGGGACTATTTTGCCTCACAGCGCCCTGCATGTATCCCTCCACCATGAATGGAGTTTAAGTTCTCTAAACTATCATAAAACAGTGTCTCAGTCATCAGGCAGTGAATTCATAACCATCTCATGTAGGAACTTTCTGTGAGGGAGCTTTTAGAGGTGGACGTCTGGTTCCTATCACCACCACTGTGAACGGTTCTGACTCTAAGTTTCTCTACAATCTTAAAAAAGATGGTTCTTCAAGGGTTCTTTAGTAAAGCCACTGGGCCTCATTCACCAACCGTTCTTACGAAGACATTTCTTCTTACGCAGTTTTGACGAAGACTCTGTCATTCATCAATGTTCTCTTATGTGGGGTTTGTTCTTAGGTAAGAACAGAATCTACACACACTCAAGAGCACAAAGGTGAGAACAGTTCTGCGCTTTAAGAACACGTCATGAATCTGACGTAGACGTTTCCTAGAACCTTTCTCGAGAACACTTTTAAGAACAAACTGAGGAAGATACTGGAGAATGAGGCTTATTGGTTTTATATAGAACCATGAATACTCAGAGCCGTTTGCATGGTTAGATGGTTCTTCAGATTGATATAGTGTGTGTTATGTTTGGTTCTACATAGAACATTTCTGAAAATGGTTCTATATAGCACCAAAAAGGGTTCTGCTATTGTCTGCTGTTTTTGGTGCTGTATAAAACCATATAGAACACACTTTCCATCAATCAAGCAAATGGTTCTTTGAGTGTTCATGGATCTATATAGAACTCTTGTCTTTACTAAAGAACTCTGGAAGAACCATGTCTTTAAGAGAGTAGAACTGACTCTAAACCACTGGGAACGTCTTTGTTTAAATCTTACCTATTTAATAATGTAGAAATTTAGACAGAATGGTGGAATTCCCCTTTACTCAAATATTTAGGCAAATATCTGATATCAAATCACTGATGCTCAGTCTGCTCTCTCCTTCTGGACTGAGTTTATGCAAATGAGCTGAGCAGTGTCCAATCAAATTGTTGATATGTTGAGTCTGAAAACTGGCAACAGAAACAAATCAGATTGTGAAAAATATAGAATCAATTTTAAAGCTTTTTACCCCACATTTTTCCTGTATTTTCTTTTGTTATTGTGCTTTTAAGACTGATATATGTAAATAAGCTGTGTTCTGATTGGCTACCTTATATTAGGCCTCATTCACAATGCATTCTGAGATTAAACACTCCTTATAACTTCATAACTTCACCATGAATGGGCGGGGCTAAACTGCTGTAGGCTGAATGGGCGGGGCTAAACTGCTGTAGGCTGAATGGGCGGGGCTATACTGCTGTAGGCTGAATGGGTGAAGCTAAACTGCTTTAAGGTGGTCGATTCTAATAAAGTGGCCAGGTAGCAGAAGCACAAGGTGGGTGTTTCTAATAAAATGGCCAGGTAGTGGAAGCACAAGGTGGGTGTTTCTAATAAAGTGGCCAGGTAGCAGAAGCACAAGGTAGGTGTTTCTGATAAAGTGGCCAATGAGTGAAAGCACTAGGTGGGTGTTTCTGATAAAGTGGCCAGTTAGTGGAAGCACTAGGTGGGTGTTTCTGATAAAGTGGCCAGTTAGTGGAAGCACAAGGTGGGTGTTTCTAATAAAGTGGCCAGGTAGTGGAAGCACAAGGTGGGTGTTTCTGATAAAGTGGCCAATGAGTGGACGCGCAAGGTGGGTGTGTCCAATAAAGTGCATTTCTACGTGTTATGTTTACATCCAGCTACACCTCTGAATGTGCATGTTTAGCATGCGTGATGTCATCACTTTGCCACCCATCATCACCTAAACTCATCCATGGCTGTGATACGAGCTGTTGTTGTGTAAATCCTGCCTGAGGCAAATGGTGACGCTTTTGCTTTAAAGCGATACTTTGGTGACAAATCAAATCTGCCCAGTTTTTACCCTGAATGTAGTCAATCAGCCACGACACGTTTGGTTCTTTAGTTTTAGCACTGCGGCTACAAAGCTAATGCAGCCAAATAATGGAAGCTTATACCCCACCAATTAGCATGGAGCTAACCTTATGCCTAAATCATCACAAACTAAAGTTATACTTTTATGAATTTTTATACTTTTTAGGTATAGCAATTGGCTGTAGGTCAGTTCTCTAGATAGTCTGTCATACATTTTCAGGAATCTGCTAATTGCTAACTACTCACTGCAGCTGCACATAGGCTTTAATTACTTGATAGCCACATTAGCCTTGTAGCTTGTAGCAAAACTTGAAGGAATAATACTTAATACTGACAGCAAGTGTTTAAACTGGGTACTGCAGTGCAAATTCAAAACATTGGAGAGAGTTGTCTGCCCCGCCCCCTCCTCCCCAGATTCGAAGCGCACACGGGTTGCCAGGTTGAGGACACAAAGGAAGCAAAGACGAGTCCTAAACTGTAAGCTGATTAGCTAATGTATATGTTTGCAATGTTTTTATTGATCGCAAATTAGAAATCAGCCTATTTTTTATAACTTTGTTTGTTGGCTAGTTGTATGGCTCGCTATGTATGTCAGATTCGTATTCACCAGCTTCTTGTTAGAATTTTCCTGTTCCACCTTAAATTGTGCAGCAGTTACATTCTGGTGCATTAGCCTATTCGTTAGCTTCTTGCTTGAATTTTCCGTTCCACCTTAAATATCGCAGCACTTACATGATGTGCCAGAATGTAACTGATGCAACATTTAAGGTGGAACGGGAAAATTTGAACAAGTACCTGAGCTGCCAGACTGTAGTTGCTGCACCATTTAAGGTGGAACGAAAAATTCTAGCAAGAAGCTTGTGAATAGGAAGCCTTGGTCCAGCTCCACACGGACCACTGAGTGGGAAAGCGAGTATATGAATGTTGAAATTATTAAAATGTCCATCCCTGCTAGCAGCCATGCTAAATTAGTTACGGTTAGCTACCTGTAGCTGAAGCTCAGTGCTTACCAGTCCAGAAGAAAATCAGCCAACTCTCCATCTGTCTGAAAGTCCTTATGGGCTTTAAGCTGCCTCCATCTTTCAAACACATCACCAATATTTACTGGCGTTTTACTGCAGCTCTGATCATGGAGCTGTTTAGGTCGAGTAGAATCTAATATTTTCTCTGCTAGTCCAGTTTGCTGCATCTGTGTTTGCTGGCCAAAATGGTTCATATCTGGCAACCTTGGGTGTTGAAATGGTGCTGGGAGATGGGCAGTGGGTGGGCCAACAAGGCAGACTAGAACACAAATAGACTTTTTGCCCTGGAAAGGAAACATACTGGCTGTAGCGCTGCTGCCAGAGTAGCCAGTATTTCAGCTTAGCATGTTTCATAATCTCTAACGACACTTCATGGAACGTTTTGGCTGGTTAACTACGTTAGCGCTAAAGGTGAAAACGTGCATTTGATTTAGTGCCAAACTCCAGAGTTTAACGTAGCCGGGCTCTTTATTAACGAAAGCTTTTTCTCTCGTCTTTTAGCACGCAAAAGGATTTCCTAGCACGTTCCGCGTGGACATGTCCGAAACGGCATGAGCTTCTTCTTCTTCTTCTTCTCCTTCTTCTTCTTCTTTTTTGCACAGTAAAGCGAGCGGCCAAAAGCAACGTTTTTTGTTTTTGTTCTGTTTTCCGTTTCCTTGTTTTTCCTGATCAAGCTGGCTCGCTGGTGCTGGGCCTGGACGTTGAGACGCACCAGCAGCCTCCAGGACCTTCTCAGCAGGACTGAGGAAAAGAAACAGAAAAAAACGGACAGAGCGGAAGAAAGACGGAAAGACGAAAACTTCTGAAAACGTTCCACCGACCTGAGCCCTTTATCTGTCTCATAAACACACAGACGTGAGAACACTGTACAATCTGACTGTACAAAGCGCAGCCCGAACTCTCGGTTCTAGACTGTTTTTCTATCGTTTATTTTGTTTTTTTTTCTTTTTTCGTGGGGTCAAGTGTTTTTTCCTGGAGCTATTATTATTATTATTATTATTATTATTATTATTATTACTCTATTTGTAAACAACAACACACGGATGGAGGATGGAGAAAAAGAAAGATGGATGAACGAATGAACGATGGCGTGAAACGTTTTCGAACCCGAAAGGAAAAAAGAGAAAACTCCGTCCGGTTCCGTGCTTCTCTTCATGTCTGCAAAGTGTGTACTGTACTCTTTTACAAGCTTCAAAACTGACTACACATTTATCTCTATAAATATCTATATATCTATATCTATATATATCTATATATAATGTTTTTTTGTTTTTTTTTATTATTATTATTATTTCCAATCTGTGTAGCTCATCGTTTAATTTATACACCGTATTGCCATAAATACGAAGACGAAAGTGCTGAAAATGTATTAAAACATTCGGGGCTTCTAAACTGTGTGGCCTAATTGCCTAATTAATCAATTCATTGGGTAACACTTTATAAAAAACAGGCCACCTATAAACAACTTAATCATTTTCTAATAGTTATTAATGACTGTTAATAATTATGAAATTGTTTTGTTTTCATCAATAAATGATATAATTTGAACTACAAGTTGAAAATTTGGGAATGAACTTTGTTAGCTTGACAAAGCTGTTGCTATGGTATCCCAGGTGGTTGCTAAGGTGTTGTTAGGCTGTTGTGAAGGAGTTCCAGGTGGTTGCTAAGATATTGCTTAGTTGCTGCTATGGCATCCCAGCTGGTTGCTAGGCCAATTCTATAGCATCCATAGTGCATATAAGATATTGCCTAGACAATTTTATGGTATCCCAGGGGTTGCTAAAGTGTTGCTAAACTGTTGTCATGGATTCCCAGGTGGTTGCTAAGATGTTAAATTGGTAGCCCAACTGGTTGCTAGGTCAAATCTATGGTTTCCATTGTGCTTGTAAGGTATTGCTAGGCCAGTGCTATGGTATCCCAGGTGGTTGCTAAGGTGTTGCTAAACTGTTTTTTATGAAGTCCCAGGTGGTTGCTAAGGTGTTGTTAGGCTGTTGTGAAGGAGTTCCAGGTGGTTGCTAAGATATTGCTTAGTTGCTGCTATGGCATCCCAGCTGGTTGCTAGGCCAATTCTATAGCATCCCTAGTGCATGTAAGGTTTTGCTAGGTCAATGCTGTGGTATCACACGTGGTTGCTAAGGTGTTGCTAAACTGTTGTTATGGATTCCGAGGGCATTGCTAAGGTGTTGCTAAATTGTTGCCATGGACTCCCAGGTGGTTGCTAACATGTTGCTGTGGTACCCCAGCTGGTTGCTAGGCCAATTCTACAGCATCTGTAGTGCATGTAAGGTATTGCTAGGGCAATGCTCTGGCATCCCAAGTGGTTACTAAGGTGTTGCTAAACTGTTGTTATGGATTCCCAGGTGGTTGCTAAGGTGTTGTTACATCGTTGCTAAGGTGTTGCCTAGATGTTGCTATGGTATACCAGCTGGTTGCTAGGTCAATTTTATGCTTCTAATTCCAGTACTATAGTATCCCAGGTGGTTGCTAAGGTGTTGCTGAAGCAGTCCAGGTGGTCACTAAGGTGTTGTTTACTCATTGACATGCAAACTATTAAAGCATTATATATTAAGTGCTTCTCTAAAATGCATTATATTCAAGTTTAATAAGAAATATAAGTAATAAACATTATGATAAGTATTATAGTATATAGTAATACATTATAAAACCACTTTATGAGATCTTAATGTTTATATATATTAATCACAAATTGACCACTTAATAGTGATTAAGCATTAAAATAAAATATTTAGTAATTAGAGCGGCAAAATAGTAAATAACTAAGAACAATTCAGTCATAATTATTATGAATTATTATAATGCTTATTATTTTCAGTAATTTGAGTATCAAATAACTAAATCACTAGTAACTATAATCAATGATTCATTTTCTACAATTCAATAATTAGTAATTGTTTGTATGTCACTAAGTAAATGATTAATAATTTTATAATAATTATATAATTCAAGCTATAATTTGAACCAGAAGTTGAAATCTTATGAACAAACCTCAAGTTGGCTTTACAAAGCTGTTGCTAAGGCATTGCTAAACTGTTTCTATGGCATCACTGGTGGTTGCTAAGCTGTTGCTATGGTATCAAAGGTGGTCGCTAAGTGCTAAGTTTTTCTTTTTGCTTGGCTGTTGCTATGGTACCCCAGGTAGTTTCTAAGGTGTTACTAGGCCTTTGCTATAAAGACCTAGGCAATTGTTACGCTGTCACTAGGCTGTTGCTATGGTATCAGGTGGCTGCTAAGTTGTTGTTTTTTTTCTACACTGTTCATATGGTACCTTAAATGGTTGCTAAGGTGTTGTTAGGCCTTTGCTATGAAGACCTAGGTGGTTGCTAAGGTGTTGCTAGGCAATTGCTGTGGTACCCCAGGTGGTTGCTAAGCTGTTGCTGGGTCTATGCTATGAAGACCAAGGTGGTTGCTAAGGTGTTCCTACGTTATTCTTGTCATTCCTGTGGTATTCCTGGTGGTTGCTAACTTGTTGCTAGGCTACTGCTGTGGTAACAAAGGTGGTTGCTAAATTGCTTACACTGTTGCTATGGTACCCCAGGCGGTTGCTAAGCGGATGCTATGAAGACATAGAAGGTTGCTATAGTTTTGCTAGGGAATTCCTGTGGTATCCCTGGTGGCTGCTAAGCTGTTGCTATGCTGCTGCCTTGGTTTCGAAAGTGGTTGCTAAGGTTTTTCTTGCTAGGCTGTTGCTATGGCACCCCTATGAAGACCCATGTGGTTGCTTAGGTGTTGCTAGACCTTTGCTATGAAGACCCAGGTGGTTGCTAGGTTGTTGCTAGCCCATTGCTATGATACCCCTGGTGGTTGCTAAGCTGTTGCTAGGCTGCTGCCTTGGTTTCGAAAGTGGTTGCTAAGGTTTTTCTTGCCAAGCTGTTGCTATGGCACCCGTATAAAGACCCAGGTGGTTGGTCAGGTATTGCTAGACCTTCGCTATGAAGACCCAGGTGGTTGCTAGGGTGTTGCTAGCCCATTGCTATGATACCCCTGCTGGTTGCTAAGCTGTCACTAGGCTGTTGCTATGGTATCCCAGGTGGTTGCTAACGTATCCCTGGAATTTGGAATCTCCAGTTGCTCTTTACATTGTGTTAAAATCTCAGATGAACAGACCAACAGAAACGATTCAAGATTAGAAGGAAAAAATCTGCTTCCATTAACTTTCATCACAGGTTAAGAGGTTTTGTTCCAACAGCTTTCGTATAATTATTGACAGTCATAAAGAAACGATTAGATAATAAAGTTGCTGTTTATTTTGGCTGGTTGTTATAAAGTGCTACCAATTATTTGTTGTTTGTCTATTTTTTAACGTTCTTTTTGCCCCACAGAAAGCACTGCCTCCTTTACTTTCATCAGTCTGTGTTTTTTGAGATAAATAAATGAATTGAATAGGTAGTGATGACATCACACTACTGCACACACACACATACACACACACAGGTGAAGTGGTGACTAATAAACATTTACACCCGAGCTGTTTGCTTTTTTATTGCTCATTATTTCACATTTATGTCTCTCTTCTGCTCAGAAACAGCTCCAATTTACTGTTCACTGTGTACAGTTTACTCACAGCGACACCTTAAAGGGGGTCTGTTATGTTCAGAATTTTATTTTGGGGTTCTAGAATAAATTTACATGCTTTGATGTTCCACAAGTACGTCATTGTTCTCATCCTGTCCCTCTCCATTCACCCTCTGTCTGAACTGCTCTGTTAGAGCCCCTGTGTCTTTAAGCCCGGCCTCCTGAAGAGCCCAGTGTGCTCTGATTGGTCAGCTCACCCACTCTGTTCTGACCGGCTTTGACTTTACAGACCGTTTACATGCACAAAAGCTACAACACGCTAAAAAGGAGAGAGGAAAACTGGAAAAGCACAATTGTTTCCCTTTAATTTACAAACACCTTCAGCTGAAGAGTTCAGCAGCTGCCCATTGACTTCTATTGTACGTGGGTTTTGAGTCAGTTCAGGGAAAATTTGACCTGTTGCAGAGATATTTACTGAGGTTAGCATGCTAACCAGCTAGCTCCAGCCCATCCTAGCACCTCAGGAGGTGATAGTGAGTCACTGTAGTGTCCAGTCTGCCGTCTGTCCAACATGAGAGGATGAAGAAGTAGCCGATCTCGGTGAGTAAAGGGGTGAAGTTTGATGCTGAAGTTGCAACATTTCTTCTAGACTGGTAAGTAAACAGGAGAGGAGTGGAGAGGGGGGAGGAGGGACTGTGGAGCGTGAATTCGTCAGGTTGCGTCATCGTACACATTACCCCTTTAAAAACCATCGATCGGACATATCTGAGAACTGTGTGGGCGTGGCTAATGAGCAGTGATTGACAGCTCTCTGTCCAACACTCCTAGCCAGCTCCGACCCTCATACAGAACTAAAATCATTATCCAGTTTTTATGTGACACTAACTGGACGAAAAAAGTTATGGATGAGCACACCTGCAGATTGACGGACAAACAGATGGACAAACAAACAGATGAAGCAATGTGTGAATGAAGGAATGAACGATTAAACAACGTTGGTGTTGGATAAACGAATAAACAAGCGACAGGCAGATACAGACAGGTGGTCTAGCTCACTACCTTTTGGTTATGCTGTGTTAGCTTTAGCTCTCTAAGCTTCTCTGATTCTCAAACTGTTCTGTGTGGGCGGGGCAAGAGATGCAGCCTTGTGATTGGTTGGGGGAATGCCTATGGAAGTGTTACCCGAGATTAGCACCTCCCAGTTTACATCGAGAGGAGGGAAATATGGTGAAATGTATTGGCTATTTATTGGTCAGTGGAACATTATTTGGAGGGCAAATGTAGTACATGTTAACTGTTCGTCAGCAAGAACAAAAGTAACCTAATTAGACAGAAAACACAGATTTAGGTTCCGAGTCTTCAGACAGCTGAGTGTACGGAGATGAGAAAAACACAACAAACTAAAAAGCTGAACCTCACCACTGTAGGCTAAAGCATACTGCCACACCTGAAGTGATGTCCGACGATACAGCTGAAAGTGCACATTGAAACCTACTCTAAATTATGTGGTAGTTTAACATTGATTTTTTGTCATTTTTTCTCTCTCTCTCTTTGTTCATGTCCTTTTTCCATCTTGCTCCTCGGTCCTCACTGATTACCGTAAAAGCCTTTATTAAAATGTGTTATAGGGTTCCCGAGTGGCGCAACCGTCTAAGCGTTGGCCCTATCATCAGGAGATCGCGAGTTCAATCCCTGGTGATGCTACAGTCGTCCGTAGCCGGGAGTCCAAGAGAGCACAATTGGCCTCGCTCTCCCTGGGTGGGTAGGATGGCCCCTCCCTCTCCCCCCATCACTCAGCGCGATGCTAGTCAGCGCAGGCGTCTGTTAGCTGACGTAGCAGATCTGGCGGTTGGCGCTTTCCTCCGAGCGCGTTCAGGCTGTCCAATGACGTTGCGTGAGCGGCAGCTCGAAAAGATGCGGTGGTTGGCTTCACAGGTCTCGGAGGAAGCCAGTGTTAGCCTTCACCCTCCTAGCGTTGATAGCATCGTGTGATTGGGGGAGTCCTAACTAGCGGGTGGAAT